TCACACACACACAGAGTTCAGCGTAGTATATCTTTTTTATTGGTGATGGTGGTCATGGGGCTTCAACTCTGGGCCCAGGGCGCTGTCCCTGAGTTCTTTAGCTCAAGGCTAGCCCTCTACCACTTGAGCCACAGCACTACTTCTGGTTTTCTGGTGGTTTACTGGAGATAAAGAGTCTCCTGACCTTTGCTGCCCAGGCTGGCAGAAGTCTGATGGGGCTGGGAATGTGGTCGAGTGATAGAGTGCTTGCCTAGCATGCATGAGGCCCTGGGTTCAATTCCTCAGTATCACATAATTAGAAAATGCCGAAAGTGTCACTATGGCTCAAGTGGTAGAGTGCTAGCCTTGAGCAAATGAAGCTCAGGGACAGTGCCCAGGCCCTGAGTTCAAGCTCTAGGACTGGCAAAAGAAAAAAGAAAGAAAAGAAAAAACAAAACGAGTCTCACAGACTTTCCTGACCTGTCTGGCTTTGAACTGGAATCCTCAGATCTTCCTGAGTAGCTAGGATTATAAGCATGAGCCACTGGCACCAGCTGTAGTATATCTTAAATATATTTTGAACACTGTCTTAAATATATTTTTTGTTTAAGAAACTGAGCAAAATGTTTCCAAAGCAACAGAATTGGAAGATAAAACCCTTGGGCCAGTTACAACAGCAGAAAATAAGGAGCAGAACCAATTGACAAGTATCCATTGTGTCGAAGGGACCAGTATTCCACTGGAAGCAAACCTAGTGAAAAGGTAAAATAGGAAAGAGTCTTTGACATTCAGTTTATCTTCTTTTTCAGCTTTAGCTATAAGAATTTGATTTAAAGTTTGTTACATTAAAAGAATGAAAATTGTGGGTTGATAATGGTTCACACCTATAATCCTAACTACTCTGGAGGCTGAAATCAGAGGATCTCAGTTTGAAGATCCAGACAGGAAAGGCCATAAGACTCGTAAATCCAATTAACCACCTGAAAACTGGAAGTGGAGCTAGTCCTCAAAGTAGTAGAGCACTAGCCTTAAGCAAAAGAGCTCAGGAACAGCATCCAGACCCTAGTTCAAGCCCCATGACTGACCCCCCCCCAAACAAAATAGATTAAAAACCGATAAATAGTATTATCTCAGATGAATCTAGTTCTAAAAATAATTCCCTGGTTTCCAATAATAAAAATTCTCTTTTAGAAATGAAGAGGAAGAAGAGAGAGCTGAGGTGGCTCAGGTTCTGTCAGTTACTTCAGTTTCTCCTGAGACAGTTCCTCATACACTTGGTTCGAGTTGGGGTCTTTGTGAGAGTTCTATGGAGGAGACCTTGAGAAAGGAATCTACTGGAGAAAGTGTGCTCACATTTCATGCACCAGAGGTAAAAGAATGAAGACTGTAACAAGCAGATTTTTCCCCATTTTAAAATTTAAAGTATGATTTATGTACAATAGACTTTGTCCTTTGTAGTTTAACATGTGCTGATGTATAGATTTTTGTAACCAATCTTTGAATAGTTTAGCACCTCAATAATTTCCTAGTTTTTTTTTGGGGGTCAGTCTTGGGGCTTGTACTCAAGGCCTGGGTGCTGTTCCTGAGCTTTTTTGCTCAAGGCTAGCATTCTACAACAGCGCCACTTGCAGTTTTCTGGTGGTTAGTTGAAGATGAGTCTTATAGACTTTGCTGCCTAGGCTGGCTTTGAGCAGCAGTCCTCAGATCTCAGCCTCCTGAGTAGCTATGATTACAGATGTGAGCCATTGGTGCACAGCCCCCTTTTTTTTCTCCTTTAAATTGTCCTTTTCTGTGCTTTTTTTCTCAGTTCCTGATGATTCTGGATCAATTTTTCCAATAGTATTATTGTAGTAAGAAAATATTGTGAACTGGGTGTGAATGTACATGTGTTTAGTCTTAGCTATTTGGGAAGCTATTTAGGAGGCAGGAGCATCACAGAATTTAGGAATTTGAAGCCAGCATGGATAGCACAGTAAAATAAAAGAATATTATGGCTGGGTGCCCGTGACTCATGCATCCTAGCTACTTAGGAGGTTGAGATCTGAGGATGACAGTTTGAAGCCAGCCAGGGCAGGAAAGTCCGTGAGACACTTATCTCCAGTTAATGAGAGGAAAACCAGAAGTGGTTCTGTGACTCAATTAGTAGAGTGATAGCCTTTAGTAAAAAGAAGCTTTGGGACATTGCCCAAGCCCAGAATTCGAGCCCTAGGACTGCCCCCCCCCCAAAAAAAAAAGAAAATAAAAGAATATTATGATAAAATTTTAATTGTTAGTCTCTGAAGCACAGAAATAAAAAAATGTGCTCAAATTTGTTTTGAAGCTTACAGATTTTGTTTTCCATTTTAGTTCTTAGAGCTGAGTTCTTTGTTTCACAGAATGTGTATTGAGATGCCAATACTATATATCTGACTTTATGAGGTACTGGGCAGAGTAGTGAATGAATGGTCAAATTCAGTTTGATAAGTGAGATAGAGTTTTGAACAAGATTGTATAAGTTGTCCTCTACCTAGTGATGTTAATCTGTGATTGTGGCCTAGGCATTCACTGGAAGTAGGCATTCACTGGCTCAAGTGGTAGAGCATTAGCCTTGAGCAAAAAGAAGCTCAAGGACAGTGCCCACGACCTGAGTTTAAGCCTCGGACCAGCAAAAAAGAAGAGAAGAAAAAAGAGAAGAAAAAGAAACGAGGAAAGAAAGAAAACAAAAATGAAGGAAAGGATGGGAAATAAGGATGGAAGGGGAAGAAGGAAAAGAAAATATTGTAGAGCAGAATGATATGTAAAAGAATGTGGCTAGGACTGAAAATGAAAAGGTCACAAGATACATCATAGAAAGATTTTTAAGACTTACCCCTAACTTGTTAATTTTTGCCTTTTATTTTATTTTATTATTATTATTATTATTTTTTGGTCCGGTCGTGGGGCCTGAACTCTGGGCCTGTGCACTATCCCTTAGCTCTTCAGCTCAAGGCTAGCACTCTACCACTTAAGCCACAGCCCCACTTCCGGCTTTTTTCTTTTTGCCTATGTGGTGCTGAGGAATGTAACCCAGGGCCTCATGCATGCAAGGTAAGCACTCTACCACTGAGCCACCTTCCCAGCCCCTGTCTTTTATTTTAAAATACTTTCAATCTTTCTGAAAATTTCCAAAAATTTGAAAACTTACCCAAACCCTTTTTGTATTCATTAATTATTAATAATTTGCGTCTTTTTTTTCCTGTCTTCATCTTCATCTTCATCTGTGTGGTTTGGTAGAAAGTTGAAAAAGCATTTGATCCATTTAAGAGTAAGTTGCAAATACGTGTCTTAACTCATTAATAATGCATCTCTAATAAGAACAAGTATATACTGTTTCCACAGTCAATGTTACAATGCCATTTAACATGGATAATTCAGTAACATTGTTTAATAGGCAATTTTTGATTAAGTTTCTCCAGTTGTCTTAATCATGGCCATTAGACCCTTTTTGTTCTTAAAATGAAGACCTCATATAAACTGTTACCTTGGGGCTGGGAAGGTGGCTCAGTGGTAGAGCGCTTGCCTTGCACGCTCGAGGCCCTGGGTTCGATTCCTCAGCACCCCATAAGCAAAAAGAAAAAAGCCGGAAGTGGTGCTGTGGCTCAAGTGGTAGAGCGCTAGCCTTGAGCTGAAGAGCTGAGGGACAGCACCCAGGCCCAGAGTTCAGGCCCCATGACCGGACCCCAAAAAAAAAAACAAACTGTTACCTTATTTCTTCTTACTCTTCTTTAGTTGTGGGTAGTTCTTTTGTGTGAATCTGGCATTTTAGATAGGGTTAGCTAGTCTGCAATCTGAATATTTGTTTTAATTGCTTTACTCATGATTGAATTGTCTTTATGCAAGATCACTCCATAGTGATCTTGTGTTCTTCCTTTTTATTATCAGATCAAATACATACACTATTACTGATGATGTTGACTGATCACTTGACTAGTATTAGTGCCTTATAGTTTCTTCATTAGAAGGACATGTTTTCTATTTTGTAGTAATTTGGCCAATGAGATCCAGCAGCTTGTCATCCAATACTTTTGGTATCCATTGGTATATCTTACCTGAATCAACATTATTGTTTGCAAAATGGGAGTTTTGCAGTTTTAAAGATTAGAGAATTATAATCGGATATTAGCAGTTTTGTGGAAAACAGATTTGAGGGAAGCAAACTGATAATCAGGTGTTTATCTTCATTCGCATATCACCTACTTATATGAAGTGCCTGGTGTGCCAGGAGTAGGGGAATCAGTCTGTATCCTGACACGTCCAAAATCACCCTGTAAAATATACATTTGACAGTTTAATTGACATTCTTTGCGTTTATGTTTATTTCAGTAAACCGTAAGTTTATTGGCACATTCATTCAAGTACTTGGAAAATTGTGTATGTTTAAGATAAGTAAATAAGTTTTGAAACAATATCTTCTTACTATGTATTAAGTTTTCAGGAAAACTTTTAAACCTTACTCTTTTAATTTTTATGGCAGTGTACATCAACTTCTATTCCAGAAGTCCAACAAAAGAATGTAATCAATCCTGAAGATCTAGCAGGTATGACAGTCTGCTTCAGTGAAGCAGCCTAGTGGTGTTTTTACATTTAAGTGAAAAAATACTAAACAATTCTTTTTCAGTCTCTGGCAAATTTGCAATGTTTTGTGTATCAGCTTTGTTACTTAGGATTACAAGTCTTTCTATGATATAGCATGCTTACCCTTTATGAAATTAATTTTCTGGGGTCCAGGCTATAAATTTAGTCTTCTAATTGTGATGATAAGTTGTCATGAGATAATGGTTTTGTGACTTAGCCTTTCTTATTTTTAAACTTTTATAGTGAATCTGTTTGCGAATATACATCAAGATGGAGATGATGAACAAGCAGTCATTTTAACTCTGGTGGAAATCCCAACTAGTGAAGCAGGAGAATTTACTGGTGATTCTATGCAGTTAATGCCAAACCCTTTACTACCAGCACCGATATTGATCAAATCAGGGAATACTGAAGAAAGAAGTGACTTGAGGTAAAGTATAAACCAGACTGATTTTGTTTGGTGGAGAACTCATTATGATGCTGATGTTGGCTCACACCTGTGTTATTTCCCTGAGAGGCCAAGATCCAAAGGATTGTGGTTTGAAGCTAGCTCAAGAAGAAAAGCTCTGTAGACTCCATCTCCAAAAATAGCTAAGAAGCAGGGCTCCATTGGCTTAAGCCTATAATCCTAGTAACTGACAAAGATTTTTCTCACATTTTAGGCTGCTTCCTTACTCTGTTGATTGTTTTTGTTTTTTAAAAAAAGTTAAAACAAAAAATTTTTATTATAAAAGTGATATACAGAGAAATTATATAAGTCAGATAAAGAGTGCTTTTCTTTTTGGACAGTGTTACCACTTCCCTTGTGATGGGTTCTTTTCTTTCTTTCTTTCTTTCTTTCTTTCTTTCTTTCTTTCTTTCTTTCTTTCTTTCTTTCTTTCTTTTCTTTCTCTCTCTCTCTTTCCTTTCTTTCCTTCCTTTCTTTTCTTTCTTTCTTTCCTTTCTTTTTTTGCCAGTCCTGGGGCCTGAACTCAGAGCCTGGGCATATCCCTGAGCTTCTTTTGCTCAAGGCTAGCACTTTACCACTTGAGCCAAAGTGCTATTTCAGGCTTTTTTTGTTTATGTGGTACTGAATAATGGAACCCAGAGCTTCATGTATGCCAGGCAAGCATTCTACCACTAAGCTACATTCCTAGCCCCAAAGATGCTATTTTTTCTTTCATGCATGTTTTTGGTAATTTTATGAGAATGAGTTGGATATAGAGGTGTGGTTTTATTTCTGGGACCTCCATTGTATTTATTCTATATGTTCCTGTGTCTGTTTATATGCTGATATTGTTACTATGGCTTTGTAGTAGCTTTCAAAATCAAGTATTGTGATAAACATCTTCAACACTTTTTTTGGGGGTGGGGGGGCAGTCATGGGGCCTGAACTCTGGGCCTGAGCGCTGTCCCTCAGCTTTTCAGTTCAAAGCTAGTGCTCTACTACTTGAGCCAGAGTGCCATTTCTGGCCTTTTCTGCTTATGTGGTGCTGAGGAATTGAACCCAGGGCCTTATGCATACAAGGCAAGCACTCTACCACGGAGCCACCTTTCCAGCCCACCTCCAGCATTTTATTATTTGCTTAGGATTGTTTTGGCTTTTGGGGATGTTTTATGCTGCCATATGAATTTTATAATTTTCCTTTTCTTCTCTTTCTTTCTTCTTCTTCTTCCTGTTTTTTTTTTTTTT